GCAGAAAGGGCATTTTCTGACTTGGTGCAGCTCATGAAGACCACTTGCTTACCTACCCAAAGGCCAAGTGGTATAGACTGACCAGCTACACATCCCATAAAGTACTTTATGATGGCAGTACATGTAAAATAGCTGATAAGTCATCACCCTTCAAACCGCATTTGGGCAAGGTTGCTGCTACAGGAGACCAAGCCGAGTTGTCTATATAAGAAGAAAGAGAAACCAAGAATAAAGACACTCAATCAAACAAACAAATGCAAGCACAAACTCTGCTCAAAACCACATTTGCCTTCAAAATGAAGCTGTAGTCAGCCCAAGCCTTCATCCCTCTCGGGACAAACCTTCATCCCTCGCGGGATAAACCTTCACTCAAACCCTTGTAATAGCTCTACTACCTTGTTCAACCTTGCTATAGTATCGATTCATCTTTTGTAAATCTCTCTCCCTCTCTAAAGCTTTCATACCCTTGATAAACTACAAAGATAGGAACCTGCAAGACGACCAGGCTTGCCCAACAAGGTTAAACCTTGCCTGACCTTCTTTGTTTTTGTCTTTTCATTCATTAGCCTAGCAATATGTTGTATACTTCCAGTTATATTCAAGTTATTTCTAGCAAGATGACTATTAAAAGGCTTTCTCGGTACTTGGATCCGATTTGAATATATCTTCAATGTTCAAACCAGATCCAAGTCATAAGCCCTCGGGCATGTAAATCTGATTAGTTAAAAGTCCTTGGCCTCAAGGCATAAAAGAGAACCTTATGTGGACTTAAACCATCCACGACAATCATTGATAAACGAGAAGTCCGAAGTTACTTGGGGCGCAAGTAATCGACCTACCTCTTAGTCTTATTTCTATTACATTATGATTATCATAGAACGCTTAAGCATGGGAAGAATTCTGATAGGAAGCCTCAATGCCTACACCTAAGGCCCCACGAAGGCACCTATTTAGATTCATTCCATTCTGCGGTCTAGAACGTTTGAGTATAAGAAAGAACCCTAATGGGAAGCCTCAAGGCCTACATCTAAGGCCCTACAAATGCACCTATTTGGGTTCATTCTACCTCTTGAACTCGGGTAATCAGAAGTATAATAGTTATAAGACTCATGCATTCACAAGAACAAATATGATGTGTTCGAGCACTGGTTTAGTTATTGATAGGAAGCCTCAAGGCCTACACCTAAGGCCCCACAAAGGCACCTGTTATAACTAACACGGTTTCTCGGGTATATACATATGCAACCAAAACTCGATATCCATTTCATATCTGCCATACTGAAGATGGCAGTGGCATGCCTGAACACTTAAAAGTTAACCTTGATTGTGAGCCTCAAGGCCTACACCTAAGGCCCCACAAAGACACCTCTCAAAGTTAACTATGTCCTTCTCTTTTAGCCTTGCCCGACGAGCCTTGCCCGAAGAGTCTTGCCCGACGAGACTTGCCCGACAAAGCCCGACAGTGAAGCAGAAGCCCGACAGCAGCCCTCAACCGGCGCCAACCTCCCGGGGAGCTGTGTGCTCGTCGGCCAGGAAACATCCCCGACGGAAATTCCTGACGCGAACAGCTTGCAAAAAAGTTAGGGTTTGATTTTGGGAAGAAGAGTCAGGCTACAATGGCATGGTTAAAATGACAAATGCTTGAAACCCTAATTATCTCTTCAACTTGCATGACATATCTAGCTAGAGTGGTGCTATCCACACACCTATTTTTACTTTTCACACACACATCTCAATTTGCGGTCGTCGGATTGGATGAATTAAAGAAGATAGATGGTCAAAAATTAACAATGGCGTGTGATAAGTAAAAATAAATGTGTGAATAGCATTATATATCCATCTAGCTAATAAACTAAGATGCTCATGATTTGGGATGCAGCTTACCGTACCCATTCACAGTGGGGGTCTTCTCTTTGGAGTAGGATTATCTCCCTTCCTATTCTCATCTACTTCCCTCCCCTTCCCTCCCATATTGTTTTTTGTCTTATTGTCTTTATAAAAAAATATAAAAAGTTGACGTGGTTAAACTGTAACTGTTCAAATAGGAGGGATGAAAGGGAAGAGAGATCAGAAGGAGAGATAAGCATCCTCCCTTCTCTTTTGGAGCGTTCAGATCAATTTTAGGTAATGAATTTCACTTCGAATTTCTACAATCTGCTGATCAATCAGTTTGGCACTTGGCCACGGTTTGACATTCAATGGAAAACGGCTTTTCAATTGGCCACGGTTAATTGCTCAAGGAAATATAATAGGAGCTACTTGATGCAGTTTTTTTTTTTTTGGTCAAACTACTTTATGCAGTTGGAAACCTTACAAATTGAGAAAAACTTTGCTATTTGATATTTTGGATTTTGTAACTATTAGATCTTTAGTTAAAATTATAAAAATAAAAATTCAACGATTACAATACTCGAAACATTTTATACTTTTGAGCATCAAAGATTTTTTTTTGTTGCACACAGACAAGTTTTTCTCCTTTCAAAATATTGATTTTTTATTTTAATATCTATGGACGCTTAGTGTATGCACCTATTTAACTATGAAATTGGATAACAAGTGGCCTCTACCATAGTGATGGAGAGGAGTGTTGCTCTTACATTACAGCGTGGGCGAGAACCCCGTTAGCTCTCCAATCTAACATTTAATCTGACAAACTTATCGTTTGACAAAAAAAATGAAGGTACTATGTTTAATAATACATCAGGTTATGTTAATTATGAATCAAGATAGACTTTGTTGAAGTAAGCTCAAAACACATTGTGATATTTCAAGTTGATTTGTAAAATTTGAGCATGAAAACTATCAAGAGAATCTAACACTTTAAAATTTGAGTAGTTAGGTCATGTCATTGGCACCCGAGTCTTGAGTTCCTCAAGCTAGAACCCTATTTACTAGTTAGATCTGATGAATGATGAGTTTGCATTTAAGGCTAAATTGTCAAGTTGTCCCCTAAACTATCACTTAACTTTCGATTATCTCCTAAATTTTTTAATTGGAAAATTAAGGACTTAAAACTAATTTTTTTGGTTGATTTGCCCCCTACCGTTAGTTTTTAATAGATTTTATCCAAATTAATGTTAACCCTTATCGTGCCCACCACGCGACTCTCCTTTGTGGACAAAAACGTCACTTCGCTAGACCTTCAGACACAAAAGCTATAGAATCACACATATTTGCATAGGTTTATATTTTAGAAATCTAAGATTTTCAATTATTTTAAAGAATGAAACAACCGAGCTACCCTCACATATTGTGCACTTGCTTCCATTTAACAGAAATTTGGATAGAATGAATAAAAAATTAACAATAGGGGTAAATCGGTTAAAAAAATTAGTTTAAATCCTTAATTTTAAAGGGAAAAATTAAAAATTAAATGATAATTCAAGAGGCAAATTAGCAGTTGTATGTTTCAATATGCGTGCTAAATTCATGCATAGTGATAAGTTGATTAAGAACAAAGAGATTTCTAAATTAATATGCGTGCTAATCTCGTGGGTTACCTTGTAGATGGCTTTTGTTTGTTTCAATCGATCAGTTCTCAGAACCACTCTTGAGCTCTCAGCTTTTCTGCAGAAGAAAAATCAAACTTGAATATTTTAAAGCATTTTCATATCATACAGAAATGCTTCTTCATGGGGCACACCCATGAAGTGACTAACATGCGTTGACTAAAATCCCCATTCAAACTCCATCATCATTGTGTTTGCCACAAGCTACCAATGGAAAATGACCTAACTGGTGCATTTGTTGGATTGCATGCTACACTTTCCGATTTCATTTACCAATTCTTTTTCCCTCTCGCCTTTGTAATTTGTATCATGCAAAAGGTTGAAATGCTAAGGGCATCTCCAACCGAATGATTCAGAAGATCAGAAGGTCGAAAATAGTTTGAAAATCATCTCCAACCGAGGGCTAGGCCAAATGGCTTGTGGGTCCTACTGGACAAAAAGGGGTCAAATGGCTGATCGGTTGGCCCAACTCAACCAGTCAGCCAACCCCAGTTGGCTCAACTCAGCCGGTCAGCTAGCCCCGGGCTCGGCCATAATTTTCATTATTCATGTCGATTATATTCGATAGCGTTGTACTTATTCATGTCAGTTATATCCGATAAGAATGGTTTTAATTTATTTTTTTTTTACAAAATTTGTTTTAAAAATTGAAATTTTTTTTTCCCTAAACTTCTAAACCATTAAACATTACATAACATTAAGTAACATGAAACAACATTAAACAATATTAAATAACATTAAATAACATTAAACAATATAAAAATTATTCAACATAAAAAAAAAACATTTAACAACATGAAACTTAAACAATATTTTTAAAAACATTTAACAACATAAAACTTAAACGCTTACACCATGCTATTTTTGGCTCAAAGATGTGCAACAAGATCCTGCTGTAGGTACTTGTTTGTGGCACGGGAACGTATTATTCCATAACGTCTCATGTACTCATTTATAGAGATACTACCAGTTATTGGATTGAAAAGCAAATTAGGCTCATCATATATTTTTGCACGAGCCCTTCTTAACTTATTTGGATCATCTTGGTTGGCATCAGACTCTCCATTAATATACTCATCTCATTCATCCTCTACTATCATATTGTGTAATATGATGAATGACATCATGATGGAGGCCAAATTTTCTCGACTCCACCCTCTTGCCGGTTCGCTGATGATCTTCCATCGTGCTTGTAGAATACTGAAAGCTCTCTCAACATTTTTCCGGTATGCCTCTTGGTGTAAGGTAAATAACTTTTCGGTGTCATTCCTTGGGTTTGGAATTGCTTGGACAAGTGTCGCTCACTTTAGGTAGATGCGATTTGCCAAGTAATACCCCATATTGTATTGACGACCGTTGATGTAGTAGTCAAGTTGACGTGTTTTACCTTCTGTCAGGCTATTGAAGATGGGTGAACGCCCAAGAACTATAATGTCATTTTGGGATCCAGGGGCTCCAAATAAAGTATGCTAGATTCATGTGTCATACGAGTCAACCGCCTCTAACACAGTAGTTAGCTTTCTTTACCTTTCGTATAAGCCTCATTGCCATCCGGTGGGAATGTTCTTCTAATCTTAATGTATGCAGTCTAATGACCCCTATCATGCCTGGAAACCCAGGGTCTTCAGCTTTGTGAATGAGCCAATCTAGATCTTTTTTATTTGGCTCACAGAGGTACTCGTCTTTGTAAACCTGAACAATTGTGTCACAGAATTGTTCAAGAGTATCAGGGCATGTAGACTCAGACATACCATGTGTTTCATCTATCAAATCAGCTGGGGAGCTATAGGCCATCATTCGAAGTACAATAGTAACCTTCTGATAAGGTGAGAAATCAGGGCAACCTGCTCTGTCCCGCTTCTGTTGAAAGTATAGATTAATCTGCTGGACATCGCGAAGTAAACACTTGAAGACATGACACCTCATCCGGAAGCGACATCTGAAACCCTCTTCTGTGTACATTGAGTTAGGGTTGAAGTAGTTGTTCATCAGATTGACTTGCGTCATCACTCTGTTTTGTGGTTTATAAGAGCAACTAGCAACAGAGCCACCCCATTGAGGTTGTTCCTTAGTTGGCTGACACACCATGGCCGCACTCATGGATGCTGCTCTGTTTTGTTTGTTACACCTTACTTCAGCTTCTTCATCAGACTCCTCATCTTCTCGTCTCATCTGCGCCCATTTTTCTTCTAATTTGGAATTATATGAAGACCTCCAGTTGGAATCCGAAGAGGATCCAAAGTTGGAATTCATTGCAAACTTGAATTGAAAGAGATTGCATTGAAATAGATTGAATTCAAAGTTGTATGAATTATAGTCTAATATCCACCCTATTTATAGCCAAAAAACAATTCAAATCCAACGGCTAGCTGACGTCATTTAGCCGTTGGATTTGAATTTAAGTTGTAGTTTTTAAATAATAAATTATATTTGGCCCTCGGTTGGAGACTATTTTTTGTGACAGGGCTTAAACGAGCCATATGGCCCTTTGGCCCTCGATTGGAGATGTAGGCAAATATGACTTGTACTATTCATTGTCTTCGGTTGGAGATGGCCTAAGGGTTTCTAGTGCTAGTTGCGCACACATCCTTTCATTATTTGTACCTTTTGTTGGAGAACAATTCAGAAATAAACAAAAATAACAGAAATTCTAATATTTTATTAACCAAATATACTTGCTATACAAAACGAAAATTACACAATAAATACAAAAATTAATGTTACTAACTTGTTTACAAAAGGTAGAGGCTAGCGTAAAAGCTATGTCATTCGAACAGTATTTTCGTCCCACTCATGTGCTTGTGGTTCTATAAACTTAATCTGAAAATTAAAATTAATGAATCAGATTAATTTTAAATTCCAAGGCCCAAGGCCCTTGTCTTGATTAATTAATATTAATTGTATTTAGGCTATATTATACAAGCCTAATCCACACAACCATAAGACCCAAGCCTTCAATTCATTTCCAAATGGCCCATGTTGTAATTATTAGACTAAAACATTAAATCTATATAAAGATCCTTAGGAATCTTGTTTTCCCCAATATGGGACAAGAGTCTTAAAACTTCCAACACGTTTACCCTAATTATCTAGAGGAAGTTGAATATTAAGCAGTAGATTTGTGAAGGGAAATTTAGATTAGAGTTAATATCTTATTAACAATAGAGTTAAATAAAATGCATGGCCCGGGTTGTGGGGAAAACTCACAAGCTCAACAGCATGTTTGTGGACGAGTTCGAGTTTACAATGAGAGGTTTACAAAGACATGAGGTCATCTGACCCCGTCGATCCCTGCAGAATCTGAGTAGTCGTTGGGACTCATGTGGGACTTTGGGAAAAGATACATGATGCATACGAGAGAGAGAGAGACGTTAGTTCAAATCGATATAAAATATTAATGATATCGGAAGTATTAGTAATTTAAAAACACGAAAATTTCAATAGGAATATCGAAATATTATTTATATCGATAAAAATTGAATAAAAATCACAGAAATTGTAAGAAAAACTTAAAAATTTTTATTGAAATTTTGCAGGATGTTTATTTAGTCAATTATCTATTAGTTTATCACAAAAAATTATAAGGAAATGCATTGCATGATAGATTTAACTGATTTAAGTTGATTATATAGCAAGCTGGCAAACATTGTGAGTGTAGAAAGTATGTAGTAATTAATGAAAGAAGTTTAAACACACCATAATCATTTATATATAATGAATTAGTACAATATTTTACACTTTATGCATTGCATGGTAAGATACATGAGTGATTTAGCACTACATAAAGTTCCTATTAAGGTCTAAAATATTTATAATATCGGAAATATCGTAATCCAAAAACACGAGAATTTCGATAAAAATATCGAGATAATATCGATATTTTAAATCTTGTTTAAATACAATATTTCTTTAAACACATCGATCACACATCGAACACACCCTTGTCAGCCTTACAACTTGCACCTGGCTCTCATCTCTCTCTCTCTCTCTCTCTCTCTCTCTATCTTTCGGCGGCTTATTACGTCCCTTCCATCTGAATTCTGACCTGGGTGAGTTTGTAAAAGCCAAAGCCACCACGCTGTTTCTGAATCCTGATGTGAAAATTCATATTCGATTTAACGCGCTCTACAGATGGTAGAGTGTATCCATACATTATAGGCCTGATGTTAATTGCGAGATAGCATTGATAGGGATGGGCCATGTGGCTGCCACTCACATGCAAGTGGCGAGGCAGAGATAAGAGCAACTGAGCAACTCCACCCGCTTTACTTTATATATTAATTTTTTGGGATGTGCTATTTATACATATTTTTTTACTTCTCACACATCTCTTGTTAATTTTTGTCATTTGATCTTCTTCAATTCATTCGATCCGACGGCCGAAAATTAAAAGGATGTGAGAGAAGTAAAAAGGGGTGTGTGGATATCACATCCCTAATTCTTTTTGTGAAAATTCACTTATTTGGAAAGCAACGATTACTATTCACAAATATATTTTTTATTTATTAAAATTTTCTTGATCTTATCCTCATATATCATTATCGTCTTAAATTTTTCAATGAGATTTTTATCCAATTTCGGTGAATAATGTATCATTATCCATTAGTAATATATGCTTTGATTTTTGTTAAGATTTTCGACTATTCATGTAATGTCACGTGTTATTATTCTTTAGTAGTATCTGCTCATATTTTTGTTTAATTAAGTTGTGAACTTTGCAAGATTTTTCAGAGTGAACATTGTAAATATTTTGGACTTTTTAAATATTTTATTTATTTTTAATCGTTGAATTAATTTGGCCGTTGAATTTTTTAAATAGTTTGAAATTAAATGCGCCACAAAGCACCGCGTGCCACAACAACAGCTTAATTTTCGATTTTTTTTCCGTTGGAATCCAAGGTCCTCGTCAATAAACCGTTGGAAATCCAACGACTGGCGCGCCTAAATCGGCGTCATTCGGCTGACTTCGGTGCACGTGGGTGGGGCCGGCCTTCTGCTGCTTGACGTCAGGCCCGACAATTGTTGCAAGGGCATTCCAACAGGCTTCCCGAAGACCACCAATTCCCTGCCCAATTTTGCACCGGTTGGACCATCATTTTTTTGGGTCAAGGGCAATTTAATGCAATTGCCTGCGGATTGGGCCACCGCTGGACTTTCTCTAATTCGTTCTCACAGATTGGAGGAAAAGCACTTTTCTTTCTGAGATATGCCAGTAGTTTTTTAAATTGACATTTATGATAACGAGTAATATTTTTGTATAATTAATCGTTTATTTTCCGAATATACATGAATAATTTATTTTTTTAATTGAACGAATGAAATGAATTAAATTATTTGTATAGTAAAATAACATCAGAGATTACAAATAATATATGTTGTTTTTTATTTATTTATGCTTATGAAGAAATGTAAAGCAAGCATGAGATAAAGATTTATCTTGGATCATGCATATTGAATGAGGATTTTTTTCAGATCCTATTTGTGGAGATCGTAGGGATTCTTACATCCTAACCGTCCGTCGTATATTGTGGGATCAGTTTTCATTAGGTACTATTTGTGTTTAAATATAACTAAAAAATGTCAAATAATTTATGACCGCACAATATACGATGAATGACTAAGATGTAAGAATCTCTAGGATCTCCATAATTTTGATCCGGATATGATCCAAATCCATGCATATTTGTGGTCTATGAAGATTGGCAACGGGTGACTACAGTATTGAATGCATCTTTGGTGACATCGAGCTTCTAGTACAAAGGTTAACGTCTGTGACGTTTTCGTTTGTGCCTAGGGAGAGTAACCGTGTGGCTCACTCGGTGGCGAAGTTTGTGATTTTGTTTGGTATTGTATTGGGCCAGAGTTTTTGTTTAATGTTCTAACCCACGATGTAAACATTCATATTCGTCTCTAATATATCCTATCTTCGGTTAAAAAAAAAAGATTGGCAATAGTTGCAACAAGTTTAAGAAGGTTAAAGGCAGGTTGCATGCATTATTGGGGTATCAATGTCGTCGGATTTGTGCAAACACTGAGCTTTACCTCCCCTCCTCAACAACACTACATCAACCGTAACCGAGACAACTATGACTTGATGTTAATATTAACGATGTGAATAGAAATGATTGCTCCACCCTTCTAGATAAGAACCTTGTGTATTGATTATGTCGTTCGTACGTAGCTTTTACAAAAGTATATTTTTTATATTTTGATCATGTTACAGCATTATATTTATTCAATTTGTCTGAGAAACTAGAGAATTTGGCTTGTAAATGATTGTATATTTTTTTATGTCTCATTTCTTCATCCCGACACTCCAGCTTAGTAATGAATATGTTTTTTTTTCAATTGATTAAATATATCTTTTTGTATATATCGTCTCATCGTTAGATTTTAACTTTCGACGTGTCTATTCATTTTAGCATTTAAACAAAATTTGGGGGAAAATGTTTAATGAGCTGAATGAGGATCCTCTTCGGATCCTCTTCGGATCCTCTTTGTGAGGATCTTACGGATTCTCAAATTATGTTCGTTCATCGTGCATCGTACGGTTAGAAATCGTTTTAAATATTTCTATTTAAAAATAAACATGAACAGAACATGATAAAAACTGATCACACGATGTACAACGAACGAACATGATATGAATCTCATAGAGAGGATCCTCATTCGAATGAGCTAGGCATCCTACCTCGTACATTACTTGGTCCTTGAGCATGGACGGAGCCAATGAAGGCTCACTGGGAGCAAATGCTCCAACTCAAATAATTCGTTTGTTTAGTTGCAGACTACAATTATATAATATACACATATTATCTTTGAAGAAAATATATGTATCTAATATCCAGCATACATTCATTCTACTTATACTTCATATCAAATATTATATAAGCACTAGTGCTCTTGTTTTGTGATTCAAACCGAAAAAACCCTCTCCCGCCTATCATGTACTTATATTTTTCTCATCGCTTTGCCATTTTCCACTACTATATTGAAATTTTTGTAAC